TCCTTTCCCAGAGGGAAAGGCAGTGATGCTCAGAGCTAACAAAGCCAGGCGGTCCCTTCGTCCAGCCCCCATCTTTTCAGAAAGGGGAAAGGTGGTAGCAAGGCCAGGGTCGCACAGGAGAGTGGCAGAGCTGACACTGCAGCTCATCTCTACTTTTCCTCCCAATCCACGGTCCTCACTGGCTCCTTGTTCTCTCAAAGCCACAGCCGGACCAGAGGTTCTGCATCTCTTCCCAGCTTTGGTGCAAGACAGAGAATGCAAATGGAAGACACACTCCCCTTAGGACAGTAGATACGTGACATAACCGAAGGCCACAGTCTGTGGGGCCTCTGTGAGGAGGGTCTGGGTGGCGCAGGGGGAAGAGTGTGTCAGGTCCAGCACTACGCCGACGCATAGGAGGGCTCCCACGGCAGCTCTGAATGAAGGAGTGGGCCCTGCAGAGAGAGGACTAACAGACACAACAGTGTCAAGAGCAGGTCTACCTTTGAAGGCAGAAAGTGTGGTTCTGCAGAAAGCAAAGCCTTTCCCTGGGAGGTCAGGTCACATGGGGATGAGCGGGGAGCCACGCTAAGCAATGCTTTCTGGGAAGGGCAAGTAATGAATTCTCCCAGCAGACCACTGCAGCTGTGAAACCAACCCGTTGATTAACTTGTCACCAACCAAGGCCAGGGCCGAACATCCCCCAGGCAAAGCCTTCCTGGCACCTCCCAGAACACCTGCCTGTTGATTACAGCTTACAGAAAACCACATGCCACAGACAGTCCTGGGAAATCCACATGAGGCCTGGGGGCAAGAGAATGTGCCAAGAGGCCAGGCTGGCATAGGGGCAAAGCTGGAGATGTATTCAGGTAAACCTTGGAGGTGGGCTCTCAAGAGTCAAAAGAAAGTTGCAGCAGCATCCAGTATATGCCAGGGCAGGACCACCAAGCCTAGCTACCTAAGGTGCCATTCACAAGCCTACCACTGGCCTATGCAGTGTGCAACCTACGTAACAGCCCCTGACAGTCAGCCAAAGCTTCTGCCTGTCAATCACCATCAGACGATCTTTTTCGGCCCAGCCATATCTGGCTAACTTAACCCCAATACATGGATCCAGCGGCACTGTGCAAGTTGAAACAAATGCAGAGTCAAGAAACTTGGTTTAAAGTCCTAGAACTGCCATTCACTTTATGTGTGTTTCTGAAAGTCACTTAAAGTTATCTGTAACTCAGTTTCCCATCTATGAGTGGGCCAGAATAACTGACTTATAACATCCTTTCTGCCTCTTAAGTTCTAGATTATTTGATTCTGTGATGTGATGAACAAACCGAAAGAAGAGCTGTTAGGCCTCTGAACTGAGCCGGATGCCTCCCAGCCTGGAGACATTCAAACACAGGAGCCAGGGCCCACTGTCCTCAGAGCACACCTGCAGCACGGTCACTGCACACATCCCAGTCATCTGCAAGTCGGCAAGATACACGGTGACATGCACCAACCACCAGCCCAGGCAAGGCTGTCCCCCGACACTGCAGTCCCCCAAGGCTGCGGTCCCCTGAGGCTGCAGTTCCCAGAGGCTACGGTCCCCGAGGCTGCGGTTCCCTGGTCTCTGTTTCTCCTGGATTCAGTCCTAGTACATTGAGGGCATTTCCTCACTCATTCTTTCCTAACTTTTCTAAAGCAGCTCCTTGGGAGAGTTGAGCTCTCCCATCAGCAGACACTTGGATCTTAAGCAACCCTCATTTGTATTCCAGAGAACTCTCCCACGTCTGAGCACTCAGCCTGAGGCTTCCCAGACTGTACGAGAGCAGAAAGAATGGCAGCCCCTGAGAAGCCTGTGTGTGAGAGCATGTGAGTGCGTGTGTGTATGCGTGCAAGTGCGTGGGGCAATGAATGTCATCTATCCAGCTACAGAGCAGCCATGTTTTCCCCACCCTCCCAGATGCTCCCAAGTGGCCGCCGTGTGGCTGAGCAAGGGAGAGGCGTAGGGCTGACCCGCACTAAAGGAGCAGGGAAGTGTGGGTGCGGGGGGGGGCAGGGTTGGGGGCTGGCGAGAAGCCTGTTCTGGGTGGTGACGATAAACCACAAAGGGCCACAGGCATGGGCTGGGGGAGGAAGGGCACTCCAAGCAGAGGGGACGGCAAAAGCAGAGGCCTGGAGTGAGGGGATCCAGCACATTTGCAGGCCTGCTGGGAGGCTGGCAGGACTGAGGCGGATGGCAGTCTCAACACGAAGGTTAGGACAAGGTAGAGGACAGGAGGCAGACCAGCTGAGGAGTCTGGACTTAACCCTCAAGCAACAGGGTCCAGAGCTGGGGAGTGATGGGGACAGCTATGGGTTACACAGTGACCAGTCCGGCAGCCTGCAAGGCCAGGGGATGGAGCTGGGAATGGATGGGGTCTTGGTGGCATGTCAGATGTGGTGCTGGCCTTAGGGGTACATGTGCTGGACCTCGCTGTTCAGGAAGGACTGATGGGCTGTCTTCACCTTTTACACAGTGATCTCTGTTTTTTGGTAGAGCTGGCAAAAAGAAAACTATGATGGAATCTGCCTCTAGAGCTATTAGCTCCTGAGAGCCAACACTTAAACCCACGAGTCAAGCTGGGGTGGTCAGACATGCAGTACAGAAGAGAAAAGTGAAGTGTGAGGACACAGCACCAGACAGGGCAGAGACGGCCCAGGTTCAGGGTCCGGGCAAGCCAAGTGAGGCAGCGTGATCCCACCCTTCCAGGGCTTGGAGCTACCCGAGGCAAAACCAACAGGCAAAGAGGAGGAGACTGCCAGGATCCTGGCACCCTCCAACACTCTGTGACTCCATGCCAAGGTAAACTGATTAGAGACGCTTCCTAAGGTGGTGGAAAAGGTACCAGCCCATGGTTGGTGGCAGTGTAACTGGCACTGCTTCTGCAGAGAGAAACCAAACAACAGCCCAAATTCAGAATGAGCAAACTCGGCATCCTGATTCCTAGGTGCTTATCCTACAGAATTCCTCACCTATGTACCAAAAATACATGTACTAGGCTATTCACTATAGCATGTTTCTAAAACATGATCAGAAATGCCCTAAGTGTACACTGGTAAAGAGCTGGCTCAGTAAAGGACAGCAAGGCTGTTTAACATGCAGCCGTTAAAATGAGGCTGCCTGCAAAAGACTAAGATGAGATCAGGGCATCCCGCACAGCCCCACTGTACAGGGACTGTGTCATGAGGAAGATCATCTGTGTTCAGTCCCACAGGACCCCCTGAAAAAGCTCCAGGTCACTGGAACAGATGGCTGCCCTCCAAGAGGGGACACGGCTGGCAGGGCAGCAGGTGGACTCTGTTCACGAACTTGTTCCAAATGCACGTGCCGCCTCATTCCAGGCTGCTGAGAGCACAGGGAAAGCCACACCTAGGATCCATCAGACTCACAGTCCATGTGCAGGCGAGTCAGACTCAGTGTTCCAGGCCCGATGAGGGGTGGGAGAAATGCCAGAGCCCTGGGAAGGGCTGGGGAAGCTTCCCTGGAGCAGATGCCAACAACAACCTGTCCCCTCCCTGGTGAACAGAATGAATATAGAATAAGGGATTAAAGCAATCAGGCTCCAGCCTCCAGGGAGAATGAACTGTAGGTGATACCATTCCAGATCAGGGGAGGGCACTAAAAGGGGCTGTGTGGGGTGGAGCAGGGCAGGGGCTTGAGCACCCAGACAAACAGGGCACTTGAATGTGATTCTGCATGCAGACCCCACTGTGTCTCTGTGGCCTGCAGGTAACAGGCACCCCCATCCTGAAGGTGGGTGCCACCCACAATGGTCACTTCAGGTCATCCTCCCACGGGGGCTACTAAAGCATCACAGTGTCATGCACTTCGCTTAGCTGCCTGGCACGCAGTGTGAGCCATGGCTGGGAGGAACTGCAGGCTCTCTAAGGGAGAAACTGTTGTTCAAGAGCCAGTAGAAAGACCCATGCAGAACAATGGTGTTCAGGCCAAAAAATAACCCTGACTGCCACAGAGGAGAGGACCGGAAGGAAACAGAACACTGTTATTTGGAGACAGCAAACTCCCCCCTTTTCCAGGCCCACCACTGAAAACAACACCTCCCCTCTGTCCCCAGATTTCACAGCAAACTTTTATAAGCTTTCTCCACCTCTGTCAGCGGGAGGCAGGCGAGGTGCCCAGCCAGGGCTGTTCCCCTGACAAATGTCATATGCTGTCGCAGCATCATCACACTAGTCAGGTCCTCTAGGCGACCAGGGAAGGATCCTGCAGGATGAAGAAGCAGCTGGGATTTCCACGCAGACAGAGCTGGAGGGGGTCGGTCATCTGGCCCACTGTCACAGCTACCAGCTGAACAAGAGGAGGGCAAGAAAGGGGCTGCCTGCCCAAGGTCACACAGAGCTGGGTTCCACCCACCTCAGCAACAGCCCCTTCCCCGCTAAGCACATTCCCACACACCTGCTCAGGTGGGCTTGTGTAGCTGCCCCTCTCCTATGGATAATAATACACAGGAGAGCAGCTTCCCTACATCAAGGCCAAAGGTGACATGCCTGCTAGAGCCCCACCCACCCCACCCTGGCCCACAGTCACCAGACTGAGTCTGACTTTCAGTTCGCAGAACAAACCAATGCCTCTTGGCAGCCCGTGGGCTCTCCTGCCTTGTCCATGTGATGCATTGCTGGGTTTGCCAATATAACCCACAGCCAGCAGGGCTTACAAACTAGTGACTGCAGGGAGAGAACAGTCATCCAGAATCAGGGCACAGTTTGCAGTGGTGCTGCTGATCTAGGCCAGCGGGGTCACTGAGGCCAGAGCACCCCTGGACTCCTCACCTCTGCATCTAGCCACCCCAGTCTTCTAGTTTCTGGTGCAAGCTCTAGGTGCACAAGGAGAGACAGCTCCTGCTGCCAGGGGCGACCCGGCCACACATCTCCACGGTGGATGGCACTGGCCTCTGCTGCACACTTTCTCTGTCCTCTTGCCAGTGGCTGCAGGCATGCTCAGAAGAGGGAGTCCTCCTGCCACCACGGGAGCTCCCTCCCTGCCTTCTGACTGCTGCTGTGGGCGAGGCCCCTTCCTCCTCAGAGAGCCTGGGGACTAGAAAATGGCACACTGTCTGTGGCTCAACTTGGAGTCATCAAAGAGGGGAGCTGGCACAATGTTTCCTGTCCTCAAAGAGCTACCCAGCGCTCCCAGGAGGCCACGAGGCCTAGGCTCAGCCTGGCTCCTACCAGCCCTCCAGCCCACCGCAGACAACCCTGGCCAACGTGCTCTGGCTGCACCTGGCTACTGCAGGTCCTCGGGCCTCTGTCCAGTCCCACTGAAGGGCCTGGCCAGGTGCTGCCCCCTTCCTGTTCCCCTCCCGACCTGACCTGCCCTTTAAGGCCTCAACTAAATGTCAGCTCCTCAGAGGGTCAATAACAAGGACCTCCCTGTTCTCCCAGGCCTCGGCATTTCTTCCTAGTACTCGGCATCACTGGGGCTGCATTATCTTGTCCTCTATTTACCTATGCTTCGTTGCCATCATCCAATGCACTCACACTCCGATACACCTCCAGCAGGGCAGGGATTGCGTCCACCTGGTCTTATTCATTGTTGCATCTGCAATGACTTTTGGGAACTCTGGCACACAGTAAGTGCTCAGCTAAGACTTACTGAACGAACATAATAGTTATTGATGAATGACCTCACAGATCAATGGAGAGAAAAACGGGTAGGCGTCAGGGCCAGATCAGGGGCTGGCTGCCAGGTGGCATGGGAGGCCTGGGGCAGGGACCTACAGGGAGGGGCTCAGAGGATATCCTCATGCCTCTCTCTGTCTATCCCAGAGGGCCGAGGTTAGCAGAGGCCAACGTGTGGTTTACCCGGCTGGCTGTGCTCTTGGCTGGTGAGGTGGCAATGAAATTTACTATATGAAGACATAGGCAGCCACAGTGGGCTTTATCACGGGCACACAGCCTGCACAGGCAGCAGAGGAACACGCTGTGAAGTCATGCCACCCACACAAACCAGGAGGAAACAGAAAACAGGGTGTCCTTTCTGCCACAGGTATTAATATTACTGAAGAAACGAAGCCACAAGATGTTGGCCCTCATGGTGTGCGATTCCAAACATTAAAACCCAGAAACTGTACCAGATGGGGCCTCAGTGTCCATACACAAATCAGAAACTACTTGACTGGCCCGCCTGAGCTCTCAGAGCTTCTGGACCCATCACTTACAAAATGCAGTGCTGCTCAACCAGGGGTGACGTGGGCTCCCTCCACCAGGGAACATCTAGAGGCATTTTTGGTTGTCAAGAGGGTCAGGGTGAGGAATGCTGGCATCTGGTAATGAGCAGACGGGAAGGCAACTAAGCACTCTGTATTGTCCGGCATAGCCCTTAGCAGCGCAGAATTATCCAGCCCAAGATGTCAATCATGTTGAGGTTGAGAAACCTGGAAATAGTGCGCATAAAAGTTCCTTCTAAAATGTTGGGGGAAATGTATTATTAATAAACATTAACATTTCTAAAACTCAACATGTCCCCAGACCCTGAGCTGAAAAACCCTGACTGTCCACACACGAGCAGAGGGGCTGCAGCCCATGTGCCGGCTCAGAGCTCAGGCTCCGGGGTACTCTCTCCTGCCCCTGTCCCAACTAGGCTGTACAAAGTCCAGCTCTGCTCCTGGTTGGTAAGAGGGCCGCGTGTCTTTCGGTACCAGGCTCGCTTTCCACAGGGGAAAGTAACTGTAACCAGCTAACGGCACAGAATGGTCCCACCCTCCCCAAAGCAGAAAGGGCGATTCCAGGCCTGGCCTTGGTGCACAATGGGCAGATTGTGTGGCTGTCTCCACCACAGGAGGAGTCGCCTATGACCCAGGGCAGCAGCCATCGAGAGGCTGACCTCACAGCCACCCCAGAACAGGACATGATCTGTTTCTCTGGGACCAGAGCCACCAGATGCGTTCAGCTCAGCCTCCCTGGTATCTGTTGGCCGGCGGTCTCATCGTCACGCGGCACCAGCTGTGTCAGAGGCTATCCCAGACGACGACCTCCTGCCAAGGTGGCCCTGAATCACCAACCCTCATGCTACCCATGGAGCCATCAGCTGTCACCAAAGCCCCTCCAAGCTATGATCCTGGTCTTGCCACTTTCTACCTGACACTGGACAAGTGACTTAACTTCCCTGGGGCACAGTTGTCTCCCCTGTAAAAATGAGGAAATAATTCCATTATCTCAGGGACTGAGATGAGGACCAAAGAGGTAAGAGACGAGAACGGCCCACAGCAGAGTGGGCCACGTGCTACATGCTTGGCAAATGGGGGGCCTCCCATGGCTCCCTGGTGACAACACACACCCCTCACTGGGACCCACGGTTCTTACTCTGACCCCACTGGTCAGAAGGCACAAAGGCAAAGATGACAAACCCACTTAGATTCTAGGGTGCCATTTAACCTCTGATAGACTTAGATGTTATCTTCCAAGTCGGATTGGAAGGCCTAGAATAACAAACACCTTTGTTTCCTCTACTTCCTCTCCATCCCTGTGCTGGAGACTGCTCAATAAACAACAGGGGCCCACAGGTTTGATTCAATGCAGCTGTGAAATCACGTTTTGGGTAACCGTGAGCCACGGCCTTGGGCAGTCCCTTGGAGGCGGACCCAACGGCTCTCAAGGTCTTCTGTGCCATCCTGCACCTTCCCTATGCGGTAGGCAAGGAGACTGAGGCCCACATGGGCTGGCAGGTGAAGGGTGGAGCCAGAAACAGCACTCGAGTCACTCTGACCCCACCTGGCCCTGCCTTTTCAGCATTTCCGCTGCCCTAGCACAGAATGCATCTCCCGCTTGGGGACACATTCATAATCACTGCCTCATTGACTCCAATTAGGACTGAGAGCTCTCAAGTCAGCTGGGGCCACAGGTAAGGCTGACAGAGAAGTTCTACTATCACTGTAATAACAATATTGACATAAGCCACGGTGACGGACTGTTCACTAAGTGCCAGGCCTGTACTGAGTCGCTTGCACATGTCATCACACCGCAGACACAGTCAACATGGCCAACCCTTACACACACATGCAGCACTCACACCACGCCAGTCACTACGGGCATCACAGGTATTAATCCTTTAATGCTAACAATAACCCTACAAGGTATTTCCATTTTTTTTTTTTTTTTTTTTTAAGAAGAAAAGGGAACTATGCATTATTGGGTTCCCTTGCCTGTAGGGGGGTCCAGTGAGATGTATGAGTTCATGTCACCATGGGGCAGACACAGAGCCAGCAGAAGCCTCACTGCCTTCTCATCCCTCTGCCGTGACAGCTGTCATTTCAGGCTGCAAAGCTGTGGCTAACCCTCCGTGGACTCGTGGCGCAAGCCAAGCTAAGCCTGTTGTGGGTGAGGGGAGCTGACTATCACTGCGGAGAAGCCTGGCCTCACTTGGTGGACTAGCAGGGAGGGCCCCAAACGCCACCCCTTCCCACCTGCTCCCAGCCCCACTCGCTTCCTGTCCCGTCAGGAGGGTGGTGGGGTCGGGGAGGCACTACTGAAGGCTAAACGCGGTTTCTTTCCAGGGAAAGCACAGGAAGAAGCAGCGTGGCCAAGTGTGCATTCTCGTCCTGCATCCTTCAGGGCAGGAGCTCCCTTCCCAGAACCACTTTAGATCGTTACACACTGAGAGGAGCCAGGAGGTGAGTGCGACTTTATCCTGCGTAGGCTGGACAAGGCTCAAGCTGCTCAGAGGCTAGCCTGTCACAGCAGCAGAGGGAGGGGACACTTAGGACCACATGCAGGGGCACCTGGGGCTGAGGATGGACACAACACTGAGTCTGCAGCCATGAGCTCCTTCTTTATCTCGGAAGCACCCGGGCTCCAAGGAGTAAACAGTGTCCTCATCTGCCCAGAGTTCATCTTGCACTGACAATCTCCCCTTCAAAGCAGGGCCTCTCTCTTGCCAATTATATCTGATCGTATCACAGCCATCCCCACCCCACCCTCCCTGCAGGATTGAGTGCAAGCTGCACAGCCTGGCATGAGAAAGCCCTGGAGTTCCCTCTCCAACCTCGCTGACACCTAGAGACATCGACACACATGCCCGTCAGGCAGCACCATCTGCCTCATGAACCCTCTTGGTCTCCTCCCTCCCTGCTCCCAGCAGCCCAGCAGAGCCATGTCCTCCCTCCGCAGGCCCATCAGGGCACCCATGAAAGGGTGCCCCAGCACATGACCAGCACTGGGCATGCACCTCCACCCAGACACTTAGGCACTGCAGGCGGCAATGGGAATGCCAGCTGCTGGGAGCAGACACAATCCCTGCCCCCATGAAGGGACAGGCAATAGTTATTGATAAAAAATTACAAACTTCCGAAGGGCGTGAAGGAAAAGTGCAAAGTTGGCAGGGCCTGGGACAAGAGATGTGTCATTAGTCAGCTCATGAGGGAGGACGTTTCTCGGGAAGGGGCACTGAGCTGATGGAAGAGCTTGTGCAAAGGCACTGAGGTGGACACAGGCCAGAGCCTGAGCAGCTGCTATGGGGGCCAGGGAAGGAGCGGGCGGGGCATATCAGCGAGGCCCCATGGGTCATGCTGGCAATCACGGCCTTCTGTGTCACAGCAATAATAAAGCGTGGACAGTTTTAAGCCAAGCCATGCTGTGATCAGACCTGTGTTTTTCCTAACTCATCACTCTAGGGGCTATGGGGTCAGTTCTGGGTCTGCCCACCGGCCTCCCCTCCAGGCCAGGAGCTTGAGGGCGGGTCGCTCAGCAGCGCTGCTGTAGGGGACGCTCTCCTTGCAGTCTGTGTGCAGACTGGGAGTTCAGGGTACATCTGGGGGACAATTGCCGTCCTTCCAGCTGATAAAGACAAGGAAGAGGCAGCAGTTTAGACTGAAACCTCCTGCTTAGTTCTAAGCTTGTTCAGGGAGAACCCCAGGAAGGTCCCCTGAGGCAGCCTCACATGACCCATGGATCACAATCACTGCACCCCTTCAGGGGGAATTCTGGGGCTAGAAGGGGCAGCAGAAGAGGAGGGTGGACCCCTCCCCTCCCACCCAGTGCCCACACCTGGCAGGTGGCTCCAGGTACCACAGTGAGGAAAAGGTTCATGTTGCTCCCCTGGAGAAGCCACTCACCAGGCCAGGAGACCCCTAGTGTCCCTGAACCCGTGACAGGGACCCTCCCAGCATGTCAGCTCCATGTGCCCACGTGGGCTTGCCCTGGGGGCCCCTGCCTGGGTCTGCACACTGAGAACCAAACCTGAAGCAGAGCTTCCGAGGCACCAGGCTGCTGGCTCCACATGAATCTTGGAGCAGAAAAACAACTGAATCATCCCAACTGAGTCTCCAAGCCAATCAGAAGCCAATCAAAAACACAACAAACAAACAAATCCAAAACCCTGGGGCAGTGGTGAAGGTTCTGTGACAAGCAGCTTTAATGTTCTGCAGTAAGCCTCTGGCCCACACCCGCCACCCACCCACCAAGGCAGCCAGAAGCATGCACAGCCTCCTGGCTCTGGGACTTTCTTCCCTCCCTGGAGACCAGAGCTTTCACAAAGGCAATGCGGTGCAGTGCTCTGGGGCCCTGAGGAACATCTCAGAAATTCATTTTCCTCCACCCACATAGCCCCAAACCACTTCCTCCTTCCTCCTAGGACCTGAATATGGCCTGTGGAGAAGGCCCTTCAAGCTGAGCCCCTGCTGGGACAAAGCATCTTGCCTCAGTTTCCCTGCTCACAAGAAAATGGGAGGACCCCAGCCTTGGGAGCTGCTTCCCTGCCTCTGACTGTAGCATCCCTGTCCCTCTCACTCCCCAGACTACACTCATGCCTCCTTGTTAATGTCTGGAGAATAAAAATTAAAACAAAAATTTGAAAACAAAGGGTGCAGTTGAGGGTAAGTGTCCGCCTCCCTGGTCTACGTGGTCTGGCTCTGAATTTGCACCTTACGGCAGATGGAGAGGGACAGTCGACGCCGACAGCCAGTGCCTGATGGAAGGAGACCCCAGCCCTATCCCAGTGCCTCTCAGTCCTTCTCTGCCAGCCCCACCTCTGGAAAGTGCAGCCCCGCACCCTTTCCCCCAAAGGATTGTTCTTTTCACAAAGGAGGAAACTTCCTACCTTATCAGATATCCGGCTTCTTACTGAAGCACAGACGGCAGTGAAAATTTATCCCAGAAATACCAGTGCTGGGAAGTTACAGTGAGGTCACGGCAACCATCCACCAAGACCCAGCCAAGACCCTGCCTGGGAAACGCACCTGTGGCTGCCTGGCAGCCTTAAGCCACAAGTCCCCATGCTGCCCTCCACACGTTCTCCCTGTTAATATTCTTTTCTGCCCAGAAAAGGAACACAGCGGGCACTCTCATTCACTGTTTGGACATCACCTGCCTGGGCTGTGGGCTCTGTGTGTGTCTGGGGCATAGGCAGGAGGGATAAGGGCTTGGGAGCAGATGTTCTGGAACTCCGGATCAGGCTAGCCAACGCTGTGGCCCTCTCTCTAGAAGAGCAACCGTGTGGATGTGATGAAGCGGCACTCAGCTACAACAGGTGCTTGACACCCACAGGCATTTACTCCCCCAGCTACCTGCCCACCCAAGGAGGAAGGAACTGAGGTTGAGGGCAGGCGTGCAGCCCCTCAGTTTTGGAGCAAGGATCTGCCCTGAAGACAGTTTGACTCCCAAGTCCTCTATCTCATCCATCTCTGGAGCGGCCACACGGCGGGTGGGGAGAGCAAGCTAGCACAGGCTCAAATCACACCTGGACCACTTTCTAGCTGTCCTGCGTCTGCTTCCTCATCCATAGGACGGGAATCATCGAACCTTACAGCTCACGGGAGCAAGTGGGTCAACCGCCATGAAGCGTTTTCCAGGAGGGCCTGGCACGTGGGAACTGCTCTACAGTGCTTTCTGTGGTAATGGTAATCGTGGCTGCTGTCATCACACATTACCCTGCCTTCCCAAAGGGCGTCTGGAAGGCCACCGTCCCCTAGTTGGACTCATCAAGAGATATGACACCCCTGCCCCAAAGGTCTGTGTGGCAGCCCAGGCATAGCTATGTTCCTCCAGAGAATGTCCCCCAAGGCACCACAGGTACACGAACTGGGCACTCAGAGGCCTTCTAAGGAGACGGGGAGTGAGGCAAGAGCAAATGGCTCAGGGGATAGGAAGGTCACTGCATGACTTGGGATCAGCTGGGGCCACACCCAGGACAGTTGTGTGGCTGAAGCTGAAGAGGAACAGAAGAGCAAGCCCCTCAGGACGAGCAGTGGTTTACCTGAGAAAGTCAAGACTGACCCCGGCTCTGCCGGGTTCCTGTGGACAAGCTGCACAGGCTTCCACGCCCCCACTTCCTGGTTATCAACAAGGCTGGTGAGTCTGCTCTGGGGGGTGTGGGAATCACATGCAGCACATGGGTGAGCGCTTATCAGCCCAGCCCTGGCATGCGGCAGGGGCTCAGGAAGCAGCGCATCACCAGGGCACACATTTCCTCTGTCTTGTTCCCCTCTAATCCCAGCATACTCCTCCCAACATGGTCTGAATTTTTCTTTTTACCAGCAACCATTTTACAAATAAGAAAACTGAGTCTCCACGAGGTCACAGAGGAGCCCATGTTTCTCCCACAGCCTCCAGCTCTATGAAGAAGACAATGTCCAGCAAGTAGAATAGACTTGGGGCCACTGGCGGGGGCAGAGGCCTGGAGGGCACAAGGTGGGACATGCCCCACCCCGAGCAGGGGAGGCCAGGAGCAGGCTGCACCTGCATCTGGAGCCACTTCCTGGTGGGAAGCAGGAGTGTGCAGCAGGGAGTTGGCCAAGGAACAGGGTGAGAGCCCCAGGGAAGCGAGAGGGGCCAAGGCGGCCAACCCCAAACATGTGGGGAGAGAGAATGGTGTTGGCAGGACAGCGGCTCTGTGTGACCAGGAGGAGGGTAAGATTCCCTTTGTCCTGATGAAGAAAAGCAGGACAGCAAATCTGTGTCTGTCACAGACTGGAAGCCCCAGCTCAGGCATCCCCAGCCCACCAGGCAGGCCCAAAAACAGTCACGATCTTGCCTGCATTTTCACTGACAATACAATTTGTTTTTCATGACCTCTGAGCTGCTTTCCAGAGGACAGAATCACATTCTTGTCCACAACAGAACGAACACAGGGCAAGTCAGTAGCCAGCACGAGAATCCCAAGGTGACAGGCAGGTCACTGTGGGGTCAGGACCTGGGAGGCTGCTGGAGAAGTCGGGTGGGGATGGAGAAGCAGCCAAGGGACTCAGTAAGACACCACAGGCCATGCCCAAAGGTGAGTACCCAGGTCAAAGTCATGGGCGGAGGCAGGGCTCTCCACCAAGGCAGGACTCAGTTCAAAGGCCCTCGGGAGTTCTCTTTACCAAGTGCAGCAAAAGGGTTCCATCCCTGTGCCAACCCAAGCCATGGGTAAGGGCTGTGCATGCCTGTACTGAGGACGTGGAGGCCACAATGGAACTCAGCAGTGCCTCATCGGAAAACCACATCTACACAGCCAGGGGTAGAGACGGGCTAACTGTGCCCTGGTATGGTCCCCATGCTACACCCAAGGATACTGAGGCCACAGACAAGTACCTGCCCAGGAGCCCACGTCTTGCCAGTGGCAAAGCCATTTCTCCAGCCTATACCTCTAGAGAGCTGCTACCACCCTAAACACACACACAGCCATTCCAGGGCCTCCCCTCCTCCTCCTGAAAATGCCACAGCCAAAGGCTGCACAGTCCTCACTCACCTGGAACCTGTGCACCAGCTCCAGGGACTGGCTATCATTCTGGTCTGCTTCAAGGATGACGTCGGTCAGCTTGTGGATGATGACATCCAGGGGGCCCTGCTCCTCAATCGGCCGGTTAAGGTTCAGCTGCGAGGCAGGGAACACAGACAAAAGTAACAACTTCAGCACCTGAGTCCACTGCCCCATTCTCTTGTCCACCCCAGGGCATATCACCAGAGGAACCTCGAGCCTCCCTATCGCACTCTAGAGATGGGGCAGGAGGAGGGCTGACACTCACGGGAAATACCAACAGGACAAGCAGGACAAACCCTCCAAGACCCTACGACTCGTCTCTCCTGCTAGCTCCTCAAGGGCAGAGCCCACATTTGTACTTCTGTTCCCCAAGCCCCATGTGACCCAGGACACAGAAGACACATAAGAGGAATCAAGGCAACAGTGTCAATAGGCCAGGCAAGTGATGCTGAGAAATGGCTTTATAGAGAAAAGCTTTTCTGAATATGTCCCATCTGCCCAACCATCTGGGGAAACTAGGGCTCTAAGGGGTTATGTAAGTGACTAACATCACACAGCCGGATCAGAACTTAGATCGAAGTGGATGCTGCTTCTGCTAACTTATAAAAAGTCTTAGCAAAACTGTGGTCCTTAGGAATCTAGAAGCTACTGCTTTAAGCGACCAGACGCTTGCACTTCACACCAAAATCTGGGCTCATCAGGAAAAGCGAAGGCGCACGAGGCTGCCTGCAATCTGTTCCATACTGCTCCCCTGCTCTGCTGGGGAACGTGTTTATTTTTTCAAGTGCATGAGGTTGGGAAGATCAGGCCCCAAGGGAGCCAGAGCCTCTGGCCGACAGTCAGCATCACCTGACCCCAAGACAGGAGCACCTGCCAAAAGCCAGGGCAGCCTGACACCGGCTTCCTGACCTGCCAGATGTCTCCCTCCCGGCACGCGGCCACCACCACCTGCAAGGCCAGTGCCTCAGAGGCAGCGGCGCCAGCCCGGCACCTGGCTGACCCCTAATTTGGCCTCAGCAGAGGCCAGAGGCCACGAGCCCCACCCCTGCTCTCATCCCCACCCCCAAGTGGGGTTCCCTCCAGGATTCCAGGCCGACTGTTTTAAAGTTGTTACTAAAGACATCATAAGTGACAACTACAAATGGTCACTGGCAGTTGACATCATGCTCAAAGCTTGCATGCATTTCTTTCATTTTATTTAACAGCCACTATGAAAAGTTATTTTACAAATGAGGAAAGTGGAGGACAGAGACTTTTTTTTTTTTTTTTTTTTTTGGAGATAGAGTCTTGCCCTGTCGCCCAGGCTGGAGTGCAGTGGCGCAATCTTGGCTCACTGCAACCACCATCTCCAGGGTTCAATCGATTCTCGATGCCTCAGCCTCTCGAGTAGCTGGGACTACAGAGGGGTGCCACCATGCCAGCTATTTTTTGTATTTTTAGTAGAGACAGGGTTTCACCATATTAGCCGGGATGGTCTTGATCTCCTGACTTCATGATCCACCCGCCTCAGCCTCCCAAAGTGCTGGGATTATAGGTGTGAGCCACCACACCCTGCCATAGAAGGGAGACTTTTAAAACCTGTCTAGGGTCTCACAGCAGGAAGGCAGTAAAGCGGGGATGCAAAGTCAGATCTGAGGCTGTGCTTCTCACTCTGTTCCCTCTGCCTGTCCCCACAACCTCACTCCCTATGCCTGCTCAGTGCCCTGGACAGCTGTCCTCTAAGGCCACAACCACCTGGCTGCCTTGACCTCTGGCCAAGTCGGGCCAACTGGAGACACAGCAGATGGGCAAGAAGGAGAGAGGGAGGGGATGTATTTGCAGTATCCTCACACCCCCACCGCCTGCCATATTTCTGGCACAGTCACACCCCCTCAGAGCAGGGCAGCGCCTCACTAAATAGCCTTCCCTATGGTTCCAGGTACATTTTCCGGCCCTTGTCCCCCCAGGCCTAGGGGTGGTGACAGCTCTCGGGGCTTGTTAGCACTGGGGAACTCTGTCCCTTGCTGGCTCCCAGGCCCGGTCACACCCTGTCATGGTCCCTTACTAAACTCTTCCCCGTTGGCGCCCTGGAACATGCCAGCTTTCACCTGCTGTGTCTTTAACTCCT